CAGGGATAGCTGAGACTTGACCCCCAGGCCCCGGGAGGCCCCGGTGGGGCCATTTTGCACACTGAGGTGCTGAAGCGCGCACGCCTCGAGGCGCGTGGGGCTGTGTCTCCTGGGAAGCCCGAGGCGGCCGCTGGGAGCTGTGCATTTGTTTAAGAATTAGCTGAGCTGCTCTGCGGAGCGAGGGTCGAGCCTTTGCGCTCCGATAACAGAGTGGCCTGGCTTCTCCCCACCCTCCAGCTGCCGCCGGGCCAGCGCGCGAGGCATTAGCAGCGCTGTTGCGGCTCCAAGTGTTTGCTGTCTCTTTTCCCGTTCTGAGTGCTCCTTTGGCTCCGTTTCTGGACGGAGAGTGAGCCGGGAACGCGCTGCCTGCGGCTTCTAGTCCTCCCGCTCTGTGGGAGCTGTTTCTGGGGCGGTCAGGAGAGGTCTGCGGCGCCCTGTGGTCGCCTCCGGGGCGGGCGGGGATCGAACTCGTGCGGAAGCGGCTTTAGCTTCTCCGTGCTGTGCTGTGACCCGCTGCGCCCCAGGGAGGGCCCCATTTTTCAGAATTTTATCTTGACTTCGTCAGAGCTCTTTGAGTGATCTTGTATAATCTAGAGGCTGCTCTGGGCATTACCTTACACACTCGTGACAGTCTACTCGCTCGTAACTTTGAGTCAAGCAGAAAAGCTCTGGCTGCCTTTTCCTCGCGTCTATTTTTCTCTTAACCATTTCCTCTGCAGTTAAACATCATTATAATTTCTGCTTCAGCCAGATTACATAATGTACAAAGACAAGAACATCTTTCTCATATTTTTCCTTACCAATTTTTTTGTTCCATTCGGACACTCCAGGGCTCCTTCTTTCATTATTTTCTTTCTGTTCAAAGAAACTTTTCTAGAAAAATATTTTGGCGATTCCGTCGTCTGAAAATATATTGATTTTCCCTTCACTGTTGAAGACTGATTTTTCTGGGCACAGGGTTCTGGTTGAAATTTCTTTTCTTTCGGTCCCAAAAGGCATTGTGCTTCCTCTGGTCTCCTAGTGGCTGGTGAGACATCCGTAGTCCTCGGCGGTGTTTCCGCCTCTGGGGAGGGGGCACCTGTGTCCACGGCTAGTTTCTGGACGCGTCTCGGATCGGCTTTCCCGGCTTCCGCTTCTGAATCCGCGCTGCCTCTCTTGCGGTGCGGGGGAGCAATTCAGCGGTCACTTCCTCAGGTTCATGCCAGGCTTCCCCTCCCCGCTCTCCTTCCAGGGCTCTGGTGACAGGAATGTGAGAATTTTCTCACAGCCTGCCAGGTCCTTGGCTCTGCCAGTCGTTCTGGTCCTAGCTAGCTCTCTCGCTCAGGGTGCTGGTTTCTGCGGCTCTTTCGGTTCATCACTCACTCCTCGTCTACTATTTTGGTTATTGAGCTTTTCAGTTCTAACGTTTCCATTTGGTTACTGACATCACTTTCCCCTGAGGCGTCTGTGTTTCCCGCCCACGGCTGCACCTGTGTAGCTGCTCACTGAGCCGCTGCAGCCTTGACTCCGTTGCAGCGTCTCCGTCCGGCGTCGGGCTCCTCACACTGGGCACTCAGCACTGCTGGAGCTCTTTCGGGCTCTCCCAGACGAAGGCTTTTAACTGGAACCTGAGCGTTTCTGTGGTGTGTCCTGAGAGTCGGCGCCTCGCTCGGGTCGGGGCGAAGGCCTAGCTGAGGCGTGGCAGGGCAGCGCTGCTGTGCATCTGCCCCGGTGCTGCCAGGGGAAAGCCGGGGCCCAGCCCGCGGGCAAGGGCTGCGGTGTCTGGCGGGGGCGGGAGCCTGG